TCACAACTATAATATACCCGTTAAAATATGCCTCAGGTAGATGGCGCCAGCAATTATAAAGTAGAAAGCGACATCTGTTATCGAAACCTGTAGGCATATTTGTATGCATATCTTAATTAAATCTAATATAATAGTTTGGTTGGGAAAATGTTTGATATGTCGATAGTTTAAAATACTGCCCGATTTGTGGGCGGACATACCATTTTACGAGTAAAAGATACATATAAATATCTTTGATAGCCTTAAAGTTTATGCACACTCAGAAAGTTTGAATCATGATCTTAACTTGTTGTAGGTACCGGAAAGAGTGCGGGCCATGAACGCGAGCATCAAGCTGCTGCTGATTGTGCGGGAGCCAGTGACCCGGGCCATTTCGGACTACACGCAGCTGCGTAGCCATGCGGCCACCGCCATCCTGCCGCTGGCCGAGAAGGACCCGCCCACTCCCAGGGAGAGTTCCGGGGGCGGAGCAGGCGGGGCCACCGCCACCGCCAATGCAGCTGCCAAGATGCCGTCACAATCGCAGCTGTATGCCAAACTGCAGTCGGCCCGTGGCTATGACAATGCCCTCGTGGGTGGCAGTGGGGCGGGCGCCAAGGAAACCAAAGGATCTTCTTCTACGGCCAGAAGACAGCCGGCGGGAGGCGGAGGAGCTGCAATGACCACGACGACACTGTCGCCAATGGCAAGCGCCGCCCAAATGGCTGCCAAGTAAGTGAAGTCCCTTCCATCCGCTCACTTTTTCCCTTTGCTCCTGCTTGACATGCAAATAAAATGCAAACTGCAAATGAAAGTTGCCCAAAATGCGACTCTTGTCCTTGGCTCTGGCCCCCTTTCTCTGTTCCAGTCCCTTTCCCGCTGTTGGGGAAACTTTCTTGTTGCGGCCTCACTTGTTGACAGAGGGAGTGAAGTGGGGCAAAGGAGCCAAGGACTCTGTTTAACATGGTCGAAATGTGGGGCATGGGGAGCTGCTCATTTGCAGCTGTTGGCAATTCAATTTGCCGTCCTTGTCGAAGGAGAAGAAGATTTAAAGCCCTCATCTCGCTCACCCGTTCGCAGGTCCTTTGAGGAGCTGGCCATATTTCCCAATGGCACCGTTAACGAGGCTTATCGACCGCTCAGCATCTCCATGTACCATGTCCACCTGCACCGCTGGCTGGAGGTCTTTCCGCGGGAACAACTGCTGGTCGTCAACGGCGACCGCCTCATCGAGGATCCCGTTTCTCAACTGAAACGCATCGAGGCCTTCTTGGGTGAGTTACTTTCGCAGGAGATATTCGGGATTTTGGGGCTGGCTTGGAAAAAACTTCTTCAATTAATTTCTGGCTAAGCTGGTTTTTGAAATTGGTATTAATGCATTACTTTTTATTTTATTTTATTTTATTTTGTACTCCTTGTTTATAGACCATAAAACAATAGCTTTTGGTTTTTCCAGGTGTCGCCAAAATACCAAGATAGCTTTAAGCAACAACTTGTCATAAAAAAGGATTTTTAATACTTTTTTTTTTAGGCAAGAATCTTCGATATTTTTTATATTTCTAATAAATTTCTTTGAAATAGCTGTATAAACTAGACTAACCAGCAGATTTTTTGGATTAAAAGCTTGTTAGCTTTCCTTATGATCCCTGTTCAAGATACAGCAATACAATTATTTTCCACTGAACTTAGTAGTGTGCTTTTAAAGCGCTATTTATGATAGTGGATCTTAAATGTTATCAAAATTTCAGGAATGTTTTATTCATAACTGAAATTGCTTAAGCCGAGTGTCATTTTCTGAATCAGGTAGTCCAAAATTTCTTTTCAGCAGAATTTTGTCGCTTTAATTTTGTAAGCCAGTGTTATAAGAAACGGAAACTTTGAACATATGTTGAGTACTACCAATGGTTTATCAAATATTCTCATTCAATTTCAGGCATCGAGCATCGGGTGAACAGCGAGCACTTCTACTTCAACGAGACCAAGGGATTCTACTGCCTGCGCTACGACAACGGCGATCGCTGTTTGAGGGAGACCAAGGGTCGGAAGCATCCGCATGTGGATCCCGTGGTGGTCTCCAGATTGCGAAAGTTCTTCGCTGAGTACAATCAACGCTTCTACGAGCTGGTGGGCGAGGACCTTGGCTGGCCGGAGGAATAAGCCAGCACTAGGAAATGGCTGGCAAATGGAGAGTTCTTCGTTGGCCTGTTTGGCCAATAAATCTGCCTGTGGTCAATCGCTTGGCCCGCTGTGCAGCCAATTTAATTACTAGAAAGGCAATCATGGGAAAAAGCTCAAAAAGCGATGCGAAGTTATCCCGCACCATTTTCCGCTGCATATTTTTACGGGGGGAGGCGGTTGGCAGTATTTCTGCCTGGCGGAGTAGAGCCAGCTAGCTCTGACAGTTCAATTATGTGCGCGTATTGAAAAATTGCATTCCTATTTGCACAGCCCAGCCAAACCGCCCACATACCACCATTTCAGAGCGCCACATGCAAATTTGCCTTTACACCTTTACACCTTTACGGAAGAACAAGGAGCAAAAAAAAAAAAAAAAAAAAGAAGGAAATATAGTAAAATAAACTGCACGCATTTCGGTGTGCAGCAGGCCATGAAAATGTGTGTGCATCGTATATATATATCGTATATATCTAGCATATATATAGCGAAATGAAAAGCAATATCTACATGATGTTCGAACTTCGAAGGTTACACGTTTTCTACGTCTGTTTGTGTTCTACATGTTTGTTCTCTCTCTCCGTGTGTGTGTGTGTGTGTGTGTGGGTGAATTCGAGTGTCTGAGAGCATAAAAATTAATTAAGCAACTAAATGTGATTATATAGCATGTAAGCATAGGACAAATTGAAAATGATTGCGAGTGGGTGGTAGTGGGCGTATGGAGAGGGAGAGAGAGGGAGAGCATTGAGGGAGTAAAGGGGCAATTAAAAATGTATTTAGACTAACAGTCGGCTGAATTAAATGTGTGCGTACAGAAACATGAACAAAACTAAACATATCACATTTAGCGTAGCATAGAATAGTATATACACAACATATCAGGGGTACTCGAGGTCCTCAAGCAACTTGAATACTGAATATGAATATGAATATGATTGAACTAATGCAATTCGTACGTTATGTTACATATCGAAAGCTAAACCAACCATGAAATCGAAACATATCAGCTGCATCGTCAGCAAATATACAAGAAATATATATACAAGCATATCTATATATTATATACAAACGTATCGTAGACCCTAAGTCGAGCATCAAATTTATTGTAAATGATTTTGATTTTGACCTAGTTTGTAGTGTGCGATGTGTCACGGAATCGTCATAGACAAACTTATAGTTGAATATAGCAGTATCCTAGGTTAATATCGCACTGCCTAAACCAAAAGAATAGTTATGTCTGTTTAGATAATTATACTGCACCCACTTAGGTGATAAGTTTATCAAAGATAGTTTTTTAATGCATTTTTAAGACAGATTATTTTATATTCCTAAAGAGAGAAAACCATATCAATTACGGCAACTCTACCTAAAGATACACATACTATATATACACTTATCAGCTGTTTGGCTAACGTTTAAACATTTCGTATGCATATCAAACTCAATGTGAAAAACTCAACTTAGGCTAACACTTTCCGTGACGATCCATCCAATTTCGGTTTACAGCAACATAAACACGTATATATAGAGATATATATCTCCCTCTTTGGTTCGTGTACCAGTTCTAAGGGATCTTCAGCACAGAACTCGACTAGCGCTAAATCAATACAAAACCGAAAATAGACTATGAAAATGTATTAATCTGGTTTTTACAGTGTATCTCCTTATATGCATCCTATGCTGATCCCTTAATGACAAAGGAACCACAAAAGGAATGAAACTAACCAAGCAATATGAATTCAAAGCAAGACTGAAGGTCCTCCGCAGAATATTTTATTCTCCTTTTATTTTGTCAATCAGTGATTTGTTTTGAATTATGTAAGCCAACCAAAAACAAATATAGTAGCAAAGACAACGAACATTTCTAATTTGTTTATATTTTTATACAGAAGCGAAAAGTAATTTAACCGAAATCCAGAAACTAAAACCAAAATGGAACCAATTTCCGTTTTAAAATATATTAAAGTAATGAGAAACGATATCTTAATATACTCAAAGAGCAATCTGAAGTCACATTTTGTCCTTGAACTTGAACTACGCCAATTGCATACAAAATACATATCAAAAGTTTAACTCAACTCTAGATCCTCCATTGATATTAATATATTGATATTATTGATGTATTGTCTACTTAAATTGAACGTGCAAAACTCAAAAACTATAATGTACCTTAAAAATCAACTCTCTATTTCTTTAACTTTAACTTAAACTAAAACTCTAACGATAACTCAACTCTTGCAACTTATTCAAACTTTCAATGTACATACAAAAAGTATTAAAAAATTAAAAAAAAAAATAAATCAACAAATTACGAAGAAAAATCGTATAGAAATTCAACAAATTGTAAGAAATACGACAAGAATCGACATTTTATGCTATGAAAAATTTTACGCATGCAATAAATAAATGTAATTCGAAAAACTGAATTTGTCTTTTTTTAGATCTATTTAATGCTGAGATTTGATGTTGATGGAGGATGATTTTTACACTTTTTCTATAACTTTTGGTTTGAAAGCTTTTCGAAGTCTTGGACACAAACCTTTGTAGGTAACAAGTAAAATACATGTTCTAAATGCCAAGGGAATCAAAGCATATTGGAAGAAACTACACTTTAAAGCACAGTTCTGAAAACAAATTCTAAACTGTATGTCTAAAATAAGTTTAAAATAAATCAGTTTTAAACTTTACGTTACTATTTGACATAAAAAAGCATTTTACGTTAATAGGGTATTAAAAGCTAACATATTTTGCACGCTTATTTCGAGAGAAGAAAGCTTAACCTTTGTCATACTATAACTTTTTCCCTCGATTCAGTTGCACTTGACTATTTCTCGCCACCGGTTGCTGCCTGTCAAGCTTCGGTTTATTTCCATTCGATTCTAATTATAAAAGCTGTTCTAGTATATAAGTAATATATTCAAATTTGAACAACTTTTTATTTTCATTATAATAAATATGTGGAAATATTATACAAAAATTATTCAACGACAAAGTCCAGGCGGTCAGCTGTGTTTTGTTAGGGATTTATCAGTGTGTGAAAAACTCAATCAGCAGGTACGATATTAGATAGAAAGAGAAAAAGCTTTCAAAGAGCACAACTTTGTTTACAAACAATGACTATGTATTCTTTTGCTCAGACCCAGTTGGAATTTGTGGGGACTGCTCGCATCGATGAGAAATGGCAACAGGCCAGGCCCTATGGAGATATGCCAGGTCCCAGCTCCCTGCGAATGCTATCATATTTTCTTCCAGGAGGTAAACGTAAAACACAATTGCCAATGTGGTGTTTTCACCTCATCAGTATAACATTTTTTTATTGTATTTGCACTATGGACTGTGAATAGGCGCCCTTCGCAACACAAACTTGATTCAGATGAACCGCCGCATGAGAGAGATGTATGGGGATATATACTGTATACCTGGAATGATGGGCAAACCGAACGTAGTCTTCACCTACAATCCGGAGGACTTTGAGGTGACCTATCGCAATGAGGGTGTTTGGCCCATACGTATAGGATTGGAGAGCTTTGATTACTATCGCAAGGTTCATCGACCTGATGTCTTTAAAGGAGTTGGTGGCCTGGTATCTGAGTGAGCAGTAATCAATTACTTCTTATGATAATATTGAAATTATAAAATAATTTTAGCCAAGGCCAGGCCTGGGGTGATTTTCGTAGCAAGGTAAATCCGGTTTTAATGAAGGTCCAGAATGTACGGCAAAATCTTCAGCAACTGGACCAGATATCAAAGGAGTTTATAGACAAGTAGGAGTTATTTCTGGCCACATTTATATATTCTAATAAAAATGTTATCTTTTTAGATTGGAAACTCAAAGGGATCCAAAGACCCACACCCTGCGTGCAGACTTTCATAATGAGCTCAAGATGTGGGCCTTTGAATCCATTAGCTTTGTGGCATTAAATACGCGAATGGGATTACTAACTGATCAGCCAGATCCGAATGCTGATCGGCTGGCCAAGCACATGGGTGACTTCTTCAACTACAGCTTCAAGTACGATGTACAGCCCTCAATTTGGCCATTTTACAAAACCCCTGGTTTTAAGAAGTTCCTCAAAACATACGACGACATTACCGAGATTACGACCAATTATATAGAGACAGCCACGAAACGCTTTGAGAGCAATGAAGATCGTAAGACCAAGTGCGTTTTGGAGCAGCTGTTGGCACTGAACAAACAGGTGGCTGTGGCAATGGTTATGGACATGCTAATGGCTGGAATCGATACGGTATGGGGCAACTGTTCATGGAAGTACTTCTTCTCAAGTGTACTTTTCAGACATCTTCTGCTTTTCTAACGATACTGTATCACCTGGCACGCAATCCCGCAAAGCAAGAGAAACTGCGAGGGGAACTACTTCGTATTTTGCCTGAATCCAAGGGCTTCTTGACGGATGAAAGTACGAAAAACATGCCTTATTTGCGAGCCTGCATAAAGGAGGGCCTGCGCATCACCTCTATAACACCCGGAAACTTTCGCATTACCACTAAGGACCTTGTGCTGTCGGGATATCAGGTGCCCCGTGGCACTGGTGTTCTGATGGGCGTCCTGGAGCTATCCAACAGCGATGAGTACTTTGCCCAGAGTGCTGATTTCATGCCAGAACGTTGGCTTAAGTCCGACTTAGCACCTGACATTCGGGCGTGTCCAGAGGCTCGATCGCGTAATCCCTTCGTATACCTACCTTTTGGTTTTGGACCACGCACCTGTATTGGCAAGAGGATCGCGGAATTGGAGATCGAGACGCTACTAGTGCGACTTTTGCGGAACTACAAGGTTAGCTGGCTGCCCGAAACTCCGCTGCAATATGAGAGTACAATCATCCTGGCCCCCTGCGGTGATATTCGCTTCAAACTGGAGCCAGTCGGTGTTTCAATGTGATATCTTTCCTAGCCTCAAGTACAGACTTCCGGTTAAGTTCAGAGATTTACTCGCAGTATTCACTAACAATATGGGAATGTAAAAAAATAGGAAAAAGCTAGCTGGCTAGGAGGAAAATCGAACGACATGACATGGATATATCCAGGGTCTAGCGCCGATTGCGTCCACGGTAGCGTTGGTGGGAATGATTGCGCTGACGCTGTGGCTGCTGCTGATTTTGCTGATGCTGATGCACTTCTTTCTGGGTTTTTGGTGGCTCCGGTTCTGGTGTTTGCGCAGTTGAGGTATTCACCACTTCAGTGGGTTGATCTTTCGGCTCCGAAGTGGGGGTGGAGTGGGCTGGAACGCAAAGTGATATTAGACAGTTTGAATACGAGAAATGCAATTTAATTACTTGCCCAGGACGGATTGGATGCTGGCCCTTTTGAGAAGAGCCTGGGTTCCTAGGCTAGTATTGAAGCAAGTGGGTGAACCTGGTTGGGAAACAATATTCGTTAGAGATATAAAAAAGGCAAATCAAAACTTGCTTAAAATGTGGAAAAGTTAAACAATAACTAAAGGTTTTAGGATAAATAGATTTTTTTAAAACTAGTATTCTTATTTATTTGGCTGTCATTCTTAGAACTGCAAGTATAAAACTTATTCTTACTGCTCTGAAACACGCAGAGAAAATCAGCAACCAAAATACCCTATTGACCTAAAAAGTGTTATTTGTTTTTAAGGCCATAACTTGGAACCAATTAAATTTAAATTTTCCCTATCATTAAATTCACTTTTTAGGTCATTATTTCCAAAATGTATTGTAGGTTACTTAGATACTTTTTAAGAGATTTTTTGTTAAGTTTTTAATGTTCTTTGAATTAATTCGGATGCCAGCCAAATAAATAACAATAATAGTTTCTCAATCAAGCAACATGCAATAGAGACTAGCAGTCGAGGACACACCGATAGGGCTATAGAAAATGTCTTCGGAGGAGGTGGCAGGAGTTAGGGTGTCGACTGTGGGATAGTTGGATAGTTGTGTGGCAGCCTCAAGGATCTGTTCGGTTTGGGTATCTGGCTGGGTCTCGTTGGATTCGACATCCCTTTGGTAGACTGTGCTGCCGGTTTGACTACTGCCACTGGTGGTGCAACTATCGTCTTCTTCGTCGTCGGATTCTTCATTTTCGGTTTGGGATTGGGATGGGATTTCGGTTGGGGGTTCAGGATCGGTTTCGAGCTCTGCTTTTGGTGCGGGCTCAGTGCTGGCTGTTGTGTTTGAACACATGCACGGAGTAACAGAAACAGAGACAGAATACTAACGTTAAATTGTTAATTGGGACCACACGGAGCGAATCTCGCGTGAGTTACCTGCAGCAGCAGCGTTATTGTAGAGCCGGGTGTTCATCATGGCGGCACTCATGTGTCCTGGTGAAGACTTCCACTGCTCATCCTGCTGGCCAGCTGCTATCGTTATCATTCGGGTGGGAAAGGGGGAAGAAACAGAGAGAGATTCGAGGTCAGGGCAACGGGAAGGATATGAAACGAGAGGCCAAACTCACAAGAGGCTTGGTGATTAATTTGGAATTTTTCGGACCTGCAATGGATGGATGAGCTACGGAAATGACAATGACTGAGATCGAGCACGAGCTTTGTGTGTTGCAGTATCGGTATTGTATTGTATTTCATGACAACGTTTCAAGTTCAGTTTTCATCTACGCTTAAATCGATAATCGATACTTGGAGTTAACCTAGACTTAGGGGGCTACGCACGAGAGTCTTAATAATGTTCAAGTTCAATGTCCATTACCAACTTCCGCCTGCTCCTTGTCGTTGTTTCCATTGCTGGTTGTCTTTACGTTCAGTTTGCCCTTATCATTCTCCTTCTCCTCGGCCTTGTGCACTCCGTTTTCCACCACCGCACCAGCTGGTTTCTGCTTGGCCTACAAGGCAAAACTTGGTTAAATCAAGATCAAAGTTTTGTGGTGGTACAATCCCCACCTGCTCGACAAGCTTCTCCACATCGTCGCTGCTCATTCCCTCGCTGGAGTGAGTCTCGGAATCGCTGTCCTCGCTGGTGCTGCTGCTGCTCCCATCCTCCTCTTCGTTGGGCACAAAGTCGGAGTCATCCTCGGAGTTCTCGTTGGCGTACTTGGCCAGCATCTGATCAATGGTTAGGTTATGATCGGGATCGGCATTGGAGTCCTCCTCCCGCGGACGCTTCACGACAGGTGAGTTGGTAAGACCCTGTTTGACAAGGTTAATGCTTGATGTACATTTGCTAAAGTGATGACTTACTTGCTCCGAGTGGCGCACAAACACCCGCCGAGTGCTATTGTCCTGCTGAACTCCTGGACGGCACATAGCTTGGGAAAACCACTGGGTGAGCTTCTGGGTCAGACCCTTGCCACTGCCGTAGGACACCTCCTGCTGGCGGTGCCTTATGACCTTCTGGCCATGGGCTCGGATGGCTCGCAGCTTGCGGCGTCGGGTCTGAATGAAGTAGACCATGTCGGAGGGGGATATGGGACCATTGCCGATCATCAGGGCTCCCACCGACAGCCAAATGCGCGTGAGTCGCAGCAGGATGATGAGCAGCAGAAAAGGACCCCAAGGCAAAGGGCGTTCCAAGGGAGCGGCAGATTTCTCTATAAGCCGGAAGGGAATAAACTTAGAGTATATTACCTACAAAAAGGATCTATGCTTACCCTGCGGCAAACTCCACTTGGCCGTATCCTCGATCATTACCAAGGCCCGATCCGCACGTTCGATCACAAATTGGCCAATTTGCGTGCTGGCAAATCGCTCCGCCTGTTCGCGAACCCGATCGTAAAAGCTGCGCGTCTTCTGCAGTTCGCTGACTTCATCCTCGTCGATATGATCGCGCTGATGCTGATCTTTCGCTCCCGCCGCCGTCTCTGTTTCCAGTGCCATCTTGCTGATTAAGGAATGCACATTTTATTGGTTTTTAATTTATAATTTACTCTAACTTCAAGTTAAGAGGCTCAGCTGATCAATCCTTTGACCAGCATCATTATATATTATTATAGGATTTTTAACTCGCCATTTTTACGACTTTTAAAGTAAGCATAAGTTTTATATATAAAAAACATATATGTTAAATTAAATTGTTGGCGATAAACTTCATAAAAACAAAAAAAGGAGTCCCTCGAACCATTTTTACATGAAAGAACGAGGAACGCTGTAGTGGAGATCCTCTACTATTGAATATCCGTCACTTACATGCTTTCTAAGGAATACAATATACCCTTTTACTCTTCGAGTAATGGGTATTAAAATTACTCCAGAAGAAATAAAGGCAAGAAGGCAACCATGGTCAGTAATAGTACTAGTACTTTAATTCACCTTATAATATGGACTAATAATTAAATAACTGAAAAGTATAAACCGGAACAATTTTACAATTATTGTTGTAATTAAAATTTTAATATAAGTCGGATTGTGGCTCTTATCTCGAAAATAAATCCATATATTTTGACATGAGTTTTGCGTAATGGTAATTATCACCAATTACTATAACAGTCATAAAGGTATCCGTGCAATTCGGGATTGCCGCGTGATTACTGGCTGAACAATCCGAGAATATAGTAATAGAGTATTAATAAACCTGACAAAGCGAGGTCGTCTGCTAGAGGAACCGAAAGTGGATCGCTTATCGGAGCGGATCGGCACTTCGCACTTGCTTGAGCTCGAGATAGAGATTCGTTGCTGTTTTGCCAGACGGAAAACTTATAGTCGCTATATAGTACTTTATACCTTTCGCCGACAATGACTAACGGCAAAAAATTAAGAAGACCTAAGCAGAAGCAGCAACAAAAAATCAAAACAAATTAAGTATATTAAAATTAGACCATCTGAACTTTGTACGATTCCGCCTGGAGTAATAGTTGCGAACATTGATTACGGGAGATCTCCGTCTCAGAACAATCGAGACAGTCATTGTGTGGGTGAGGTTATTAGTTGGGTTATTAGTGATTTGCAAATCTGCTGCGGTTCATGAATTTACGCCCTATCACGAAGCCAATAAAATGCTAGATTAGCTCCTCTTTCGTTCGCTTTTGATCACATAAATTACTTTTTAAATGCTGATCGTTTGTTGATAGCTTCCATTCTTATTCTCGCCGCTATGAAAGAAATCTGGCATATAATATAAAATTACACAAGCATAACATTCATTTATTTTATATTTATAGCGCTTATTGCATCGCCCAGAAAATACGCGAATTCTCAATTAAGTACAAAAACAATAAAATTATCACAAAAATTTGTTCTCGGGATCAAAGTGTATCTTCCATAAAATGCAAAATTAAAAACACAAACACATGGCGCAGGGGAATGAAAATGAAAATTAATCGATGCGAAACCCTGTTGGCCAGTGTAACGAGATGTAAATGCAGAAGTTCTCGGCGAGTGAAGGCAGTGTGAAAGGGAAAGGGGGAAAGAGAGGAGGAGCTGAGGGAAAGTATAAAGTGCAAGGCACTGGAAATCAAGCTGATAACGGTAGTTTCGCTTTCCTGCAATAATGGCGCTCGAGAATCAGCGGAGAAGGCGCAGAGACCGACTAAAGCATGCCCACTTACCGGTCTTTATGATTTCCTTTTAGAGCAATATTCGGACAATTCTTCTTTTGAGTATTCGAAACTTTCGAACCAGCCGCTAGTCTCGAAAGTCACGCTTCTGAGTTACTAAAAGGGTATGGAAAACTATAAGCACTTTTTTGGAATACTATTCCAAGTCCGCCTCAAAATTTTCTGGACCAACGATTTCAGGTTCCAAGCTTCCGACTGCACAACTCCCGACTGACTGACCAACGGCTCTGGAATTCTGAGTTCTCGATCCGCCGAGCCGGAAGATCGTCTTCTACTCGGCTCCCGAAAACGAGCAATCGTGTCATCTGTCAGAGGCTTCGGCATTATCTGTATTACTTATAATCTCTCTCTCCCTTTTTTAATCTCTCAAAACACTGTTTATAGGAAAATTGAGTGCTAATGTAAGGGAATTTGGTTATCTGCAAGAACTCTGGAATATGTTTGAAAGCTTTTATGATGAAGACAAAAAGAGGTAAAGGCTTCTAAATATAAGTGGTCCAGATTTTGTTATCACTATTAATAAGTGTAAGCCTTTAAACCTTATACGAAACTAACTTAATTAAATTTATTTGTAGACGTCGGAATTTTAAAACATTTACTTCTAATTAAACTTAAAAAAACACAAATTTTGGTCAAAGAATGATATTTGTTTTTTTTAGGTTTACCTAACAATGACATTGAAAACCAATTAAAAATTGGTAAAAAATAAAAAATTATTTGAGAAGTCAAAACTTGTTTATAAATGTTAATCTTGCTTTGTAAAAAATAAGTATTTTAGCAAATGTTATACCATTTTTTTGTATTTACCTTACAAATATTATGTTATTAAGTGTCAATACTGTCCATATTACTAAATACATTTTAAGCTATGCGCCTTTAGAATTTTTTAAAGGCGATTAAATTGAATATTAAAAGTAAACAGTAGTTTTTACAAAAAAAAACAAACTTCAATTAAATAAGTATTAACATTAATAAGAATACTAAATGCAAATATTAACTTACAACGTATTTGCAATAAATAAGAGATCAGCAAATTAAAGCTTCCTTTATTGGTTTTAAAGTCAGTCACCAATGACAATCGTATTTACCTGGTTTGTTTATCCCGTTTGAAGGACCCTTCGTCCCATCGGCAACTTTGAGCAATCACTCGACCGAATTGCACTCAATTTTGCTTTTCGCTCGGCGGGAAAAGCTTTTGGAGCCCAGCAAACGCCGAAAAGCTTTTTGCGAGCGTTCAGTTGCGCGAAAACTCTCCACGGCAGCGGACAGCATTGCGGAGCGTGTCGACCTCTCCCTCTCGCTCACTCGAAACGCGCGTTCTGTGTCAAATCAGAGGGACTCCCGCTCCCTTTTCCCCACGCGAAGTTCTGGAAGGACTCCCCGCCCCTTTGCCCCGCCGAAAAGCCATTCATCCCGCGTGTGTGTGCTGCGGAAATCAAAGAAGGAAAAGTTTAACCGTGTGCAGTGTGTTGTGAAAAATTATTTGGCCAACTGCAAATGCAAACGGCCAGTGCAAGTCCAAATGGGAAAATAGGAAGCGCATTGGAAAATAGCGAGGAGTAGCAGCAGCCAGCTAGGAAACTTGGAAAAGCGAGGAGGAGGATGTAGTCGCGAAATTTAAATGCACTTGTCTTGGTGACCTCACTAGCACACTCACACACAAGCAGAGCTGTCAGGATGTGTAAGTGTTAGTGCGAAATAAAAATTTTTGGATCCCAGGATTGCCATTGATAAGCCAACGTAGCACCTGGCTAAGCCAACGTGAATTCCTACCTGTGACAGCTGCTCTCGTGTGTTGTATTTTCGTATTTTTAAGCAGCCCTCACGTAATACGTTATCCCTTATCCTTTTGGGCCCGCCCAACTCCCTTTGATGCTGCCATATAGACGCTATATAGCTGGTATATACATAGTTAAATGCTGCCACTTGAGCAGCTGAGCCGTTTTGAAAAGCCAACGCCGCACAATTTGGCCAGCTATTTTTATGCGGGTTGAGTGCGGCTTTGGCTAAATTAGTTTGCGCATAAATTTTGACCCAGAAATGGGCGGTTTAAGATATTTGTAGAAAAAACAACACACAAATAGCTCTATTCAGATGAATTTATGAAATCATAACGACCTAATTTCTTTTGTATCCCAAAATAACACCTGTTCAAATATCAAAGAAAATAAACATTAAAAAAGTTCTTGGACATTCTAAAAAACATTTATTTTTTTTGTGTACATGTGTCGATTCCGTTATGAAAAAGTTTCACCTATATTCATATTACAGTTCACGCCAAATAAATAAAAAAAAAACCAACATATTTCTGAGAAAAACAAATCAGTGTTTTAATGTTCTCTATTTAATAAAATTAGGATGAACTATTTGGAATTATATTGAATTTATAAAATAATTTATTAACTAAGAAATTAAGTAATGCTAATATGCTTAAATATATCTGTGCGGAAATGATTAAAAATGTTAATATGTTATTTAGGTAACGAATATTTGAAAAAATTTGCCTGAAAAATTTTGCAAACAAAATTTAAATATATTTTAATGAACCGATTTTAGATTATGATATAAATTTGAGTAATATACAAAAATTAAAAAATCTTTCAAACATTTTCCAAGACCGAAAATAATTTAAATTCCCAGTTGGCATCATAGAACGTGTCGGGCACCCCTCGCCATGATTTTGGCGCCATGTCAGCAAGGGGTTAGGACCGATAACCCCTGAAACGCACAGGTTCCGCGAACGTTGGCGCTGCCATTTCTCGACATTCAGCTGCTGTTGGACTGGACATGCCAGTTATGGCGTCTTTGCATGCCGCTACGCTTCCGGTCCATAGCCACACACTCACACACACAAGTATAAAGGCACGCAAGTACGGCAAGTATGGCTAAATGAAAATGAGTGGCCAACACACATTGCTAGTGCTGTTCTATTCGGTTCTGTTCGGTTCGGTTTTTTTGTGGTCTGTCTAGATGTCGCGTGCTATTTGCCTGATATAGTTTTTAATTATCGCTTGGCGTTCATTTCTCAGCTCTTCTTTTTCCCACTTTGCCATTAATTTGTTCCCGTTTATGTGGCCATTTGACAAATCAACATCTTGGTTGGCCCAGAGCGGAAGAACTGAGGGAAGGAGGAAGACAATTGTCGCCACTGGTGGCCTCGAGTTGTCTGCCCTTTTCATCCCTGTGCTCCTCGACCCCACCTCCCGCTGTTTAGGGCCTCATACATTCGTTGATTGAAATTGCAGCAACCATCTGCAAATTGCCTGATGGAAAATTGGACACAGCAATTCGAGCACGAACGCGTAAATTGCTTGTTTGAAATCGCTCAGTTGCAGCTGGGAGGGAAGTCAGGATGAAGTTTCCAAGTTGTCCTCTTGGCAAGTTCTTCTCACATATCAGGGGGAAAAAGCTGTAAAAGAAAAAGCATTTTTACCCGCAGTGACAAGATTCTTTTACTGCAGCTCGTTTTTCCCTACTCAGGGAGACAACTATAAAATCCATTTAACCTATAAAGATTTCTCAATATTATTTAGATGTTTTAAAGTATTTAATATATCAAAAATAATTAAATGTTGGATTTGTGTTAGATGTCTCTGTACTTAGCTGTCTCGAAATTTAGGTATGTAATATTACTAATACATTTGGAGATGGTTTTCAAAAATATTAAGTTCTTAAAGTTGGAAATCTTTTGAGATCTGAAAACGTACTTTGTTTAAATTTGTTTATTGCTGTTAATTATAAAATCTAAATTGTAAGGATCTAAATTTACACATACCTATTTTAATGTAACAAATTAAGTACACTGATGACCAATTTCGGTTTAATTTTTCTCTCTGGAGTCTTAGGGCTGCTGTTTGACAGCAAGTTGTAATTACTCGGCTCCGGAATGGCTGGCCCACAAAGGTAACCCAGTTAATTAAAATAAAAGCTTCGGGCCAGCGCATATTGTGGCTCCCCAACAGCCACGTATTCTCCGGATTCTTTCCCGAAGGGCCGTCAGACACGTACAGACTTTGGTAATCCCTACTTTAGACACACTCTTATGAGGCATCAGTGTAAGCCAGGCCATCAAAAAGACTGGCACAATCCCGTTTAATTTCGTCATTATCCTGGCAGTTAATTAAGCAGCAGTCCATTCGGAATCTGCTGCATTTATGGGCTGCCAAACGAGCTGTCCATCAGTTGGGCTCACGCTGCGTATTCGCAATTTACATACGGAATTCAGTCCCCACAATAAGACCTCGTTTGGTGGGTCCTGCAATTGCTGTGCATTTCTAAGAGCCTGGACTTCAAACAGGGACACAATTCGCACAAATAAACCATGCATAATTCAGCACTTGAGCCGAAGCGCAAAAACAACTAAATCGCCAGCTCTTAGGGGCTGGTAGCCGAGAAAATATTGTATATATGTTAAAGAGAAATTCCATGAATAATTCAGAGTCGCAAACAAATTGAGGGAAAATCATTTATCCAAGACCAACGAACGTTGAGAGCTGTGCAGCGATGGGAAAATGCAAATAAAAGTTAAGGAATTTCCCATCGAAATTTGAGTTACTCGTGGCAGATGCTTGGCTTTGTTTTGTTTGGCTTTCTGTCAGCATCAGAATGTGCTAATTATGAGCGTCTGATATCCATATGGCGTAGATAAATGATTCACTTGTCTGGCGAAAGCATATAGAAAACCAATAAAACAATTCACTCATTTCGCCTGGTTGCCCACCTGGGGACCCAAAAGTAACGCCTTGGCTACGACAAACGATTTAACTTCAGGCCTCTGATAAGTCGAGTTTCGGTTCGTTGCGTGCTCGGTAAACATGATAATCAGAACCACAACAAGCCCACTCAGTTGGGCACAGTGGGACAACGCTAACAGCGACAGCAAACGGCAAAGTCAGAAACAGCGGGACATCCAGACACGGGTACATGGAGGCCGATTTTTCATGAATGGAAAGGGGATTGTGCTAGCCGGCAGTGACGTCATTCCCTACTATATATAGGGCCAATGAGCCAAAGGGCAGAAAAAGACTTGAGGACAACAATGCAGAAAGCAGTTTTTGTGGAAAAATAAACTTTTGATACACACTTGGAAAAATAAGGACAAATTGTTAAATTTTATAGAACCGTATTTTATAAAGATTTTTGTTACTTTAACTGAATATAAGTACAATACTAAATGAAAAAGGTGCCTTTAATTGTTGTACTAGATATTTTGATACTGCAAATAAAAA